TGGAAATGGCCTGCAAGTGCTAATAGTGACGGTGACGCGTCCCGCAACCACTGAAACCTTTCGAACCCCCGAGATCGTCACACCAGCCGAGTCGTTCGAGCTCTGCGCACACGGGGCTCGGGGCCGGCCCAACTCCCCTCTTCCCTGGCAGCGCCCACCTGGATGAGCCCCGGCCGCGGATCATTCACACTTCCCCGATTCCGCGCGCTGCACCCCGAGCCAGCGGAAGGACTGCCCCGTCCCGCTGGTTCTTACGCTGCGCCCTGTGCCACAGGGTTGGCGCCGCCACTGCTTCGAAGCCGGAAGTGACAGAGCTCGGGCCCTGAGGGGAAGGGGCGGAAACGGGACCCTAACCAATGGGAAGGCGGAAAACGGGAGGCGCGCCCCGCCCCGGGAGCGGTCTAGTACTGGGCCCGCCGGACCAGAGGGCGGGCTCCGAGGGGAGCGCCAATCGCAGAGCAGGGCCAGAGAACATGGCCCGCCCCAGCAGTCCCAATGGCCAATCCGAGGCCGGAGGCCAGGCGACCCGAAGACATTCAAATCAACTCAACCTCCTCCCTCTTCCCCGCCCCTCTAACGAAAAAAGAAGGTAAAGAGACCCGTGCCAGTCATGCGCAATGCCCGCCCCCATCCGGCCCAGCAGCCAGTGGCTCAGCAGCGAACTGATAAGGACATTCCGTGGGGGACACCACAGCCAATCGCTAGGCCACCAAAGCGGGATGGTCGCAATATGCTAATGAGCCTCAAATAAAAACCGCAGCGAAGGCGAGGCTCGGTTAGAGCGCGCAGGGGCGCCTTCCTCGTTGGGTTTTCCTGCGCTCTTGGGGCTAGCGGTGGCTTCCCACCTCCCCCCGCTCTTCCGTTTCCCTGCTGCGCAGCCCTGTAAACATTAGTAAACTACGAGTGACGATACACGTTCGGTGCACAGCCCCCCAGTGCCGTGCCTGACCTGGTAGGAAAGTTTCCCCAACAACCAACAATTCCCAGCGGACCGCCTCTCTCCGACACTCTGCGCGGCCGGGGTTGCAGAGAATGACCCACAGGTCCTCTCCTTGCCACGTTTCTCTACAAGCCGACAGTCTTTGCCCCCGAGCACAGCTCACAGGG